CATTGAGACCATAGAATTAAAGCTTTATCACCCGGATTACTACTAAATATAGAAACTTGGGTTAAATCCAGCACAAAATCCATGCCGTGTATGTCCTCTGTTTGTTTCCATGTATTGCATAACATCATGCCGAGCTTAGTTTTAAAGTCAGGATGAAGAGATGGTTATGAAGAGGGGAAAGAATGAGTAATAACTATGTGATTAGACTAATCTTTGCAAAGAACATATATAGTAAATACAAACAACTAACTGCCTAAGGGACAATTCTTTATTATGTTGGCTATCATGTGATTTTAAGTCTGGTTTTTATACAAAACCTACCATTAGAGCAATGTAACCACCAGAATTGTGAAGATAAAAGTTGAACATTTGTAACCACAGCCAGCAGAGTGAAGTCAGAAGATTTGGGGTTGTTGCACACGTATGTAAAATACCTTTGAAAGCTGGCAGTTTCTGCAGCTCCCTGTTGTTGCTCAAGCTGAAGCGGGAGGAGCTCTGCCTCTTGTCCTTTTTGACAGGTGTCTGGGAACCTGGCTGCTTCCCCTTGAGCAGCTGAGTGGTGGGAGGAACGCTGTTGTTTGACTTCCTGTTTGAACTCTGCCAAAACAAGAGGGAAAATACACATTAGTGACACCAAACTAAATGCAAAAGGAAAAGAGGTGGACACTGCCAATGTTTAAAAAAAAAACTCTTCAGGAAAATCTACTGCATGAAGCCAGTAATTAAGTCCCATAAAAGATGAGTAAATTTAAAATTGAGCTGACATTTGGCATAAACTGGATTTTGTCTTACTTTGCTACAAAAACTGGAACTACTATTTGTGTTTGGAAGCCAAAATTGAAACATCAATTTCAATTTTTTATTTTAACAAATGGAAATAAAAACATGTTTCAGAAAAGTACACTTTAAATTAAACATTTATGGTTTTGTTTTAAACAGAATGCAAAATAAAGAGCAAATGTCTAAGCGTTTTTACAGACAACTCTGCACTTAGAAACAAGAGTTATCGCATCCCTGACTAGCTAAAAACAATAAGCTAGTTAAAAGAGGAACTGGATTTTACTCTGCAAGCAGAAAATCAGCAAATCAGCTCAACAGCCATCATACCAGACATTAAATGTGCATCAGACAAGCACCAAAACGGTTAAAATAAAATCCTTCAGGTTTGTGAAAAATAAAGTTATAACTCAGTAATAATCCAGTAATATTTAGACGGTGCTTGTATTATTTCTTTGCTTGTTTGGTTTGTTTGATGCTTTTTCATTTCATTTATTTATTTCAAAGGGCAGTGGATATTGATCAAAAGAATACAAATGGGTCGGAGTCAGCACAACGGACAGTTTTCACCCATTGTCATAAAACAAGAGTACAAAGCACATAAAACAATCAATAAAACAATCCATAAAAACAAAACACATGAACATCCCACACTAAAAGTCACACAGTTAAAATACAGCCAAGAGTTTTGTTTTTCATGAGGCCGCTTTTCTTTAAATCTTTTTTGTTACCGTTAGTTTATTTCTTTAATGTGTTCCTCTAATTGATGTCATGTAATTCTTTGAACAAAAGAAAAAAAAATCTATCTATCTCGATAGATAGATAGAT